ACACACACACACACACACACACACATACACACACACCCTGGCACTGTCTTTTCTCACTCAATTTTAAGTATTCAGTAAATGTTGAATTGAAACATTAAATTAAGGAATAATTGAATTCGGTTTTTTCAAATCGTAAGCGTTGTTCTAGACTATAGCTCAGTAACATTAGTAACAATTATGAATAAAACAAAAACAGATGTAAGTCATAAGAGTACCTTAAAAATACCTAGCTCATCTCATTTTGTGGGCAATACCAGACCAAATAACACACATACTTAAAACCCTGAGGGCACATTTATTATAACTGACCTCTCTTTCTATTAGTTTCCTGGAAACTCTACAAGGTTTCCAAAGATTATCTTAATGTTCCAATGTTATTCATCTAAATAACATAAAATAAAATTTACCCTAGGACGCTCCTAAAACCTGTCCTAACTAATTTTCTGAGACAAAACAGCTCTGCTGCTCACCACAGCTTTTATTCTGCCCTTCCCGAATCCCCATGAAAAAGCTCTGTTCCGCTGAGGCCTGCCACAGTGTTCTTATCTGAACCTCCAAATGAACAGACCCCTATCTGCAGCCAGCCATTATTAAGCGGCTCGCCATCTCCATGGTGATTCGAGGACACGAGGATGGGGAGCGAGGCCGCTTTGTTTCACAAGACCCTGTTGCTTATTTCCTGTCTTATTGTTACCGGGGGACAGAAGCAGCGAACGTGTCTGGGCGGTGGTTCCTGTTTCCCTGCCCCTTCCAGAGTCTGACGCGTTAGCCGGCCCTAATGATTGCTCGGCTGAAGTTCTGCTGGGTTCCCCGGTAACGGTTGAGCGCTCCTGCCCTCTTGTGGTAGACAGACGCCAGATCCTTGATGGCAGGCAGACGACAGACCCGGTTCCTACAGACTTAGTAATGCTTGCAAGCAAATATTACTACCTTTATTTCTATTGAATTTATGGGGGTTTTTTTTGCCTTGCCTTGATAGATGTTATAGTAAATTATCTGAAAGCATCTAAGCTATCAAGATTACTGGGTCAACCTTTGCATCTATTTTGTGAACCTATTCATTTAGAAACTTTTTTTTTTTTGAGTTGGAGTCTCACCCAATCACCCAGGCCCAGGCTGAGTGCAGTGGCTCCCTCACGGCCACCGCAGCCTCTATCTGCTGGGCTCAAGTGACCCTTCCGCCTCTGCTTTCTAAGTAGATGGAACTACTGGCGCGAGCCACCACACCTGGTTAATTTTGTTGTTGTTGTTGTTGTAGAGATGAGGTCTCACCAAGTTGCCCGGGCTGCTCTCGAACCCATGGACTCAGGCAATCCTCTCGCCTCAGCCACCTAAAGTGCTGGGATTATAGACACCAGCCACCGCGCCTGGTTCAGAAGCATTTTATTATGGTATTTTTGTGGGTCCTAGCTTAATCAAACTTTTAATTACGTAGGGAATTCATTATGCTGGAAACATTGGGCTATAATTGGATATTTTCTAAATTAAAACTCCACTTATGGATCCCTGCTTTAACACTGGATTAATTTAGTTAAATCTTTTGGGAATTACAGACAATTAGGAAAGATGGCAAAGCAAAAAGAATAAAGTACTTGAGCTTCAAGTACAAAAGCTAAAGTGTAACTGCTCCTCTCAATGAACAATAATCCAAGATTAGCAGCATTTCTTGACAGCTCCTCACCTTCTTACTGTTCTTTTAGTTTCATTTCTCTTATTTCTAATATTTCACATACCCTAAATCATTCCTTAACAATACTGTCCTACACAATGAGCTAAAGGGTCATTCAACAATATATACTTAAAAGGGTATGTGAGCCGGGCTTGGTGGCTCAGCCTGTAATCCCAGCACTTTGGGAGGCTGAGGTGAGTGGATTGCCTGAGCCCGCGGGTTCGAGACCTGCCTGGGCAACTTGGCGAGACCTCATCTCTACAATAAATAAATTTAAAAAAAAATTAGCTGGTCGTGGTAGCACATACCTGTAGTTCCAGCTACTTGGAAGGCTGAGGCGGAAGGATCACCGGAGCCCAGTAGGTCGAGGCTGCGGTGGTCGGGAGTGGCCATCTTGGTGCGGGCAACTTGGTGAGACCTCATCTCTACAATAAATCAAAAAATTAGCCCGGCATGGTGGCGCATGCCTGCGGTTCCAGCTACTTGAAAGGCTGAGGTGGATGGATCATCTGAGCCCAGCAGGTTGAGGCTGCAGTGGCCGGGAGCGTGCCACTGCACTCCAGCCTGGGTGACAGGTGAGACTCTTACTAAAACAAACAAACAAAATTTTATAAATATATACACAAACACAAAAACAAACACACACACACACACACATACAGGCTGGACTTGAACCCCTAGACTCAGGCAATCCTCTCAACTCCGCCTCCCAAAGTGCTGGGATTACAGGCATGAACCACCATACCTGGCCTATAAATTGTTTATTTTTTTAAAAATTTAAACAAAAAACAGAAATTAGACAGTGATGAGTTAAAACCACTATAAATAAAAGTTCTTTGATATTTTTCTTGCACCCCAAAGTTTAGTTTTTTTTTAAACCTTCTAGGGGGCTTGCACTCTACTTGGAGACTACCAAGTTAAAATACAAAATAAATGAAATGGATAGTCCTTTTCTAGATGATTAGCACACATTCAGTTTTACTCCATCCTAAAATCCTAATAAGACTAATGTAAAGGAATTAAATAAAAAGAAGAAGACATAAATCACAAGGATTGGGAGAGCAGGAAAAAAGAAACACCAATACTTTGTTCTTACTCCTGTCTCCTCAAAGCCCCAAAACCTCCTCTCCCACCCTCACTCCAGCTGATGACCCAGCATCCGATTTTACTGTAAAAATAAAGCAATCAGAAGACAACTCTCTGTACTCCTGCTGTCTAAGCCAATTCCTCTATTGGTACACTAGATCCAGAGTAGTTATATAATTAATTGTCCAAACTAGTACACTTGAGAGAGAAACAGGATACTAATTAGACAGGTTAGTGTCAACAAGCAAAAACTGGGATTGTCCCAAGGTAAGTAGAATGTATGATTACTTTAACAACATCACACCCTCTCTTGTGTGCTTTGAGGACATTGTTTCAGGAATTTGTCTCTATCTCCAACATTGTCAACTTCTTGCTTTCTACAGGA